TTTTTTCGATTTTGGCTCATATTTGGAGCGCCATTGACTAGATTGTTTGACAGCTTCGACGTCGTAATCATATACCAAAGCTTCGTCTCCAGTAATGATGCGTTTGATGAATGTAGAGTCATCAGCTACGTTATCAAGCATCTGTTTTGCTACCTCTACTCGACGCCGGTTTTGGAAAACGTTCAGGTCTCTAGGTACGAGTCTAATATATGGACACGCTTCATACCCAAAACATTAACCAAAGTGTATTCAGTCGATCCATAAAAGATGTTGAGATTCTCTGATGTCAACACGACCATTTTAAAGCTCTGCTTCTATAACTTTTTCGACGTTATCATTAATAACAGTGATAAAAAACTGTTCACGTCGTAAACAAACAGCTACCAAACACACACACGAACATCGACTTCACCGAAGCTATAATGCTTCTACGGCTACTGTACCGTTGTCTTGGACAATAATCTATGTCAAATTTCGTAAAGAAATCTTGTAAAACAAAAAAGTGTTTCATACAAGGGCTTAATTTTGGTCGACCAGTTGTATGGCAGCTATTTCTATAGTAGTCCGATATAGACCATTCCGACATTAGAACAGCTTCTTGGGGCGAAAAGAACGTGTGCACAATTTCAGATCGATGTCTCAAAAGGAAAAATGGCCAAAACCAACTTAGTTCATCACACAGACCATTTATATATACTCTGTAACATCTCCGACATACTTATGTATCTTTCTGGAAAAATGGTAATCTTTTTAAAAATTAGAAAACGTTGTACACAATACACATAATTCTAAAATATATATATCGTTCGTAGTGTTAATCCATGATCTACATATATATCTGCATACATGTTGGTTTTTATCGATTATTTCTTTTGTGGTAATTTTTTTAAGTCAGATCTTATTTACAATACTGTGTATTTCGAATCCCAGCTTGTTCACCTATTGGCCAAGCTCGGGTCCATTGGGGCACAAGCAAATCCGCGTAATTGCATTACACAATTTTCCACAGCTAACTAATGCTTTTTAAGTCCAAGTAAGATAACGGATATTTACTAAATAAATGAATAAAATATATGTATGTATGTAATAATAAATTCTCCAGCGCATTTTATGCATTTTCTATGAACCGTGTGCACCATAGGTATCTACAAAAAAGTTAGGAAAAAAAAACGTAAACATTTCATGAAGTAGGCGGATGGGTAGGCGGTGGTGGTAATCTAATATGTATATATATATGTGTGTATGTATGTAGACAATGCAGGAGAGGAAAGCGCGAAGGGTGGAAAACATGTTAGCTAGAAAGCTTGGCGCAAGTTATTTATGTGCATACACACCTATTTATGTATGTATATGTGTATGTGTGTGTTTAAAGCAGGAGCTGTAGACAAACTAACTACATACCTCCGGTATATGAGAGCTGCCGAAAGAGGCGCAGAGTAAATGCGGACAGAACTTGATTATCGTGCTTTTCATTCATTTACTCAACTTTAGTATTTATGTATGTATATACATAAGTATTTATATGAACATACGCGCGTATGTACATATACTCTTATGTAGTAAATATATGTGCATGTATTTATATTTTAATTTCGTGATGGCGCTTTATTTACAACTTGGTCTCACATTCATACATACTCGTACATTTGTTTGGATCGATGTATGCACTTGTGTATGTTCATATATGTAGTATCCAAGTATTTCGTGTATACAAGCGCTTTTTATTTTGACCGTTTTTCGCATAATAAATTGATTACATTTGCAAAATTAATTTGTTTTAGCTAGCTGTACTCTCAAAATCGATTTAACTAGCAACAAATAATGGATTTTACATCAGATTTAATTAAGTCTGCTGTTCTGCTTTTTGCGATATGTTTGTATGTACAGTAATTTTTATTCTAAATCGGTTTATGCTGATCCTGTAAAATATTAGTTTCTCGTTCCCTTGAGCATCTATTTCATTTGCCGAGTATTATGCTGCATATATTTATATGTAAAAGTCGGAACCAACGTTTCCTTCATCATGCAAATCACACGAGTCTATAGATTTTTCTCTATGCAAGGTTGCATTTCCAGGATTGTTTGTACTACTAATAGGGCAATTTGGCTTATTTAGGAAATCGCTAAGGCAGAAATATGCCCCATCCGTGACGTGTACAAAAACTTCTGTGCGTCTGTGGTACAGAACCCAAGTTATAAAATAAATTCCCAGGATTCTTAAATTTGATTCTAGAGGGTTCCAGGTCACAAGGGCATTCCGGGAAATGAAATAGCGGTTGAGATTACTAAAAGTGCCGTCCGTCTGGCTACTGAATCAGTAAAGAAAATACGTGAGTTGCTAAAAACGAAACATTATGAAATTTTCGAAAAGGTCGACAGAAGGATAAAGGTGAGATGGAATTCCTTAAGTACATGCATGATCGCCAAGATCATGTGCGAGAACCACGAAGAAAAACACGCATACTTTTTACTCACACGGTTTTTACTCACAACTTACTAGCATCCTATGCGTGCCGGATGAGCATTAGACTACACATGCAGAAAGTGCAATGAAGTAGGCATTAAAGAGACGTTGGAACACCTCCTCCGCTTTTGCCAAGCGTTATCTGGCACTCGTCTTAGATATCTAGGAGATCCGTAGTTCAAGAGACTAGATGTATGTATCTCAAAATTAGATATCAAGTCCCTCTTAAAGTTCGCAAAAAGTGTTGACGTGCTGTATGATGAATACTTTAGTGCGAATCAAACTGAACATCTAGTTGGCATTACTAAGCAATAGTAAGTCTATGTATGCCGTGGCAACCGGCCAGTATAACCTAACCTAAATCTATTTTGATAGCTAAATTAAGGACATTTTGCGTCTCTAACTGCATATATATACCTATGTACATATGTATATGCTATATTTTGGATTAAATTTTTAATCCTTACCACGATCGAAAGGCTAATCAGGCAGATGTATTGTATAGAGGACCTGCTCTTCCCTTAGTTAGAAAATTGTTTTGTCGTTCTTCAGAGTCCTAATTTACTAAAGCATAATAGAATAATTTTTTCGTTCTTCTCAGCATAACTTTCAACTGGTTTAAGAATTATATTTTTCTTTAATTACAGGTTGGGCAGTCGCTGAATCTGCTCGATAGTCTCGACGCTGTATCACAATGCGATGCACTGCATTATCTGCTACGAACGCTAAAATGTAAATATCCCGAAGCTTGTGAACGGGTGACAAGGTCTCTTTTCCCCCATATCACCGATGAGTTTGCTAGTTCCACAAAAACCGCGAACAAGAAACAGTTGCAGCTGCAATTGTTGCTCACTGCCAAAAAGGAAGAGATTAAAACGGAAGATGAAGGCTCAACGGATCTTAATCAGAACTTTGAAAAGATTCTGTGCAAGGAAGAGATCATGTGTCTCGACGAGGACGATGAAGACATGGTTGGTGGCGTGGAGCTAGATGCCGATGTAGAAAATTCGTCTTCCAATAATAGACGCTTGCATTATAACAGTACACATGCTCTAAAACAAGATCCACTCGATCTGATACCCTCGTCTATTATCAATACGAGACACCTGACAACAGCGAATTCTAGTGCCACCTTTGAGCATGCAATTGTGGGTAACAGTGTTGGGGCCATGGCACGTTTAAGTGGTGATGAAATTTATAACAGTTGGGCTGAACTGGCGACATGTGATCAAGAGAAAAACTTGGCACGTGATAACACCAAAAACAATAAACACAATAATTATCCTAGATTGCTAAGTGAAAAGCTCGTGGTCGGTATTGATGAGCGATGTAATCCAACTACGAAAGCGAAAGATGACTATTTCTTCTATACCGATAATGAATGGACCATACACTATCATCACAGTACGGGCGAATTTAATGTGCGAGCCTACAAACAGCTATTTCGTTTTCGCCTACAAACAGCACTAAACGAAGAGCATAAACCCTTCTTAAAAAAATTTTATAAGAATTTCATTCTGTCTGGACAGCTGTTGGGCACGCGACCGCCATTAAATATCCTTGAAAAAGTACGGGAACAACGTCTGGAAGAATGGCAACAGTTACGTCTGAGAAAATTGGCTGCAGCTGCTGCGGCTACAGCGAATACGCAGAGACGGCAACTTTTACCTGCGATCACATTTGATTCGGAACTGGAGTCCGAATCTGAGTCGCAAATGTCGACATCGGTTGCAGCGCCCGAGATGTTAAAATTCGAGGAGATTACCGAAGAAGATGCGGGCGCTGGCCGTCTGGTACATGGCATGGAAATCGGGCCGGATATCGAAGATGTGTTAGGCGGCGGTAGTAGCGCAAGCGGTAGTGGCCATAGCAATAGTAGTAATGGCGGTGCCACTACAGATTTGCAAACATTGGTTGCCACGACGCCAGAAAGTGTGTCGACGATGACTACAACGATAAACAATACTAACACCGCTTCATTAGCGGGAGGTGAGAGTACGACCAGCGGTAGTTTGAGCAGCAACAGCAAATCCTTACTACATAATCAGCAGCAGCAACAACAAGGGTAATATATTTATGCAATACAATTATAGCTATATATCTGAAAAATAATATTTTTTATTTCTACTTAACATTACAGAAACAGTAACCTTGTGATAAATGGCCTTACAGCAAGCAATAATATAAATAACCATAGCTACAATAGTCAGCAATTAGCAAATATTGTTGGTGATCTTCCAAGTGTAGCTCCCAAGGAGCAGAATCAGCAACCACAATCTCTGCAGAGCATTAGTACGCAACTCGAGCGGCAACATAGGCTGTTGGAACAACAACAACATGAACAACAGCCGAATTTCTCCAAGCAATATCTACAAGAACGAAATGAACAGCCGCTTAATTCTTTACATTTTCCGACGTTCAACGATGTCGCCCGCGAGAATGTTTTAGACGGCGCCACGCTGGATAATAGCAGTAACAGTAATGTCAAGATTAATAAAATCGAATCGATGCTCTTGCCAGGACTGAATAATTGTAGTAATAGTAGTGGTAGCGGTAGTGCTAGCGGTCCTGGTAGCGATTCTGTGGCAATGAAAAAAATGCCCGAAAGTCTACACAACAATGTGCTGAATGCAAACCAGTCACATTTTCTGGGACTTCAGCAGCAACAACAACAACAACAGCAGCAAGAGCAACAGAGGCTAATAAAACAAAATCAAAAACAAGATACTCCACAGCTGCTGCAACAACACCGAAACATTAATGCGAATCTGCAGCATACACAAACACACCCGCTAACATTGCTGGGTGGTATGGCTGAGAGTGCGCAGCATCAATTGCAACAGCAGCAGCAGGAACAACTTCAGCTGCAACAGCAGCGTATGCAGCAACAAAGCACGAATACAGCTGCGTTCATAAACAGCATTGACAATATACTCGATAACGGTAGTTTGCCCGCTGTGATGCAACAAAAACATCCACAACAGCATTTCAGTGCGGAGCTGTTGGCGCACTCGCCAACACTACAACAGCAAGGTGCGCAGCAATCCGCACTGTCCGCACATGCGCAAATACAACAGCAGCAGCAACCACAACAACAAATGCAACACACGTTGCCAATGTTGCATATGCATCAGCAGCACGTGGACACGCTACAACAACAACAACAACAGCATCATCTACATTTGCAGCAGCAGCAACAACAAGTCGCTGGCACGTCTTCAGCTTCCACCGCACCCACATCAGCAGCGTCTTCGTCGTTGTCAATGTCAAGTGCACTCTCAGCGACGCCTAGCAACATTTTGTCCGGTATTTCTGCATCAGCATCAACTTCCGGTTCGATTTCGTCAGCTTCGTTGAATGTATCTTTAGGGCTGGATGATAATGATCTATCGCACGATGAGGATGATGACATGGATGAACATGATTTGGACGATATGGAACCGAAACAACAGCTTATTGATGGCGGTAGTAGCAGTAGCACTTCACTACAAGCGCCGCCTGGTAGTACTGGGGCACAGGGCGCAGGCGGCACTGGTGCGAAGAAGGCAAAACCCAGTTATCAATGCTTGCAGTGTCCAAAATCGTATCGGAAACGAAAATCATTATTGGATCACTATAAAATACATCCAGGGTTTTGTCATGATTGTGGACAACCAAATGGCACATCATTGGAGGTATGAAACGTTAAAACAATTTTATTCTGATATTGAAATTATATACTTTTTTTTATCTTTCTAGGAAATAATTCATCACAATCGAACAGTGCACGCCAAGGAGTTTCCATTCGTTTGTGACACGTGTGGCGAATCCTACTCGCGACGTCAACAATTTCATGCCCACGTCGAATCTCACAGCAAGAAAGAATTCAAAAGTGAGTGTGAGTGCCTGAAAATTGTCGAAATACTAACACAAACATGAGTGTAGAGTGTACCTTAAGCGTAAATGAAGTGTAAATTTCTATAATTCATGTATATTTATACCATGTGTGCATGGTCATCGCTCTTTTGTGGCTTTATTTAACTTGAAATTGGTTTTCACACTGTATTTTTTATATACTGCACTTTGGCTTATTTATTTAACTATGTTTCGTATATTTATACCCTGAACAGGGTTTAAGTGTGCCATTAAGTTGGTAACATGCAGAAGAAAACGAAATTACCAGCGTGACTAGCTGAATCAATATATCCCTGTCCGTCTCTCTGTATATACGCAAGCTATTCGCTCAGTTTTTGAGATATCGATCTGAAAACCAAACAAACACCTTTTCTTCCCAAGAAGCTTCTTATGTGTGAAAGTTGCCGAATCAGACCACTCAAGCTCTTGAATGTAAAACCTTTTTATTTGATAAGATATCTTCACGAAATTCGGCATATATTATTTGTCCAAGACAACGCAACAACCTCCGAACAAGGTTTTTAGATCGGCCCACTATAGCATAAAGCTATCATACAAACTCACCGATCAAAATTAAGTTCTTGTATGGAAAACTTTTTTATTTGACAAAGTATCTGGATGAAATTTAACATTTAAACTCAAAATAAACGATATTTTTTCCTTATCAAATAATCTTCGTTCGACTTGAAGCAAAACACTTTCTGCTGGATGCAAACCGTTGGGCGGCTACGTTTTCAAATTTAGTTATACATATAGTTGCTATAAGAAACTCACCTGTGAAGGGTATTATTGCTTCGGTACAGCCGAACTTAATGTTTTCACTTTTTTTTAATGCATTTTTACTAATCAAAAACAATTGCATATTTCTACTTGCTAATATATTGATTTGTATCGTTTTCTTTTCTTTAGCTTATTCGTGTATAGAATGCGGGCAAAAGTTTCCACACAAGAAACTGCATCAACAGCACTTAGACACGACGGGTCACAAGGCTGATGGTGCTATTTGCGAGGTGTGCGGTGCAGATTTTCCCTCGAAAAATGCACTCTATCAGCACATAATACGTGTCCACAAAAAAGACAACTTTTTCGAGTGCCACATTTGTCAAAATCGTTTTACTTTGAAAGCGAATTTGGAACGCCATGTACAACTACATACGGAAGTGAAACGAACATATGTTTGTGATATTTGTGGTTCATCGTATTTTACATATCCGGCACTGAAAGATCATTACAGCAATGCGCATACCGATGCATCGGAATGTAAATGCACTTTGTGTGGCAAGCGATTTGGCTCTGTAAAATCACTGCAGCGACACTTGCCATCACACTCGGAGGAGCGGCCACATTGCTGTTGTTATTGTGATCAGGTAAGTGAAAAATAATATTTTTAACAATTAAAAATCGCTTCTTTAAGATTTATATTTTTGTTTTAAATTATTTATTTCATATAATTAGACCTTCAAATGGAAAACTCATATGGTACGTCACAAGCAAACCGTACACGGTAACCAACCATCGCCGAAGAAAGTCAAACGTTTTGCCAAGGATGAAGGTTGGTAGTAAAGCGAATGCAATATATATATATATATATATGTATGTATATTGAATTAAATGAATTTTATATATATATGTATGTATATTGAATTAAATGAATATTATTTTCTATATATTTTTTTTACACCTAGAAATGGTACCGACACCAGATATGCCAGGCCCGCCTCCCGCGAAAGTTGCAAAGAAATCCACTACGAGTAAACCGAAGCAGCAAGCGCAGCAACAGAATCCGCAACAACAGCAGCTGCAGAGGGGCGTGAGCAACGTATCTACACCACCGCCACTCTCCACTACACCCGGTACATCTCAACAGGATCCATTCAATGCATCAATGATTAGCAACAGCAGCTCCCAATCATCCACTGCGTCAGCTTCGGCGTCACAGCATTCACTGTCAACCAATGAATCCCAACAGAATTCCATGTATACTCAGAATTTTAATGCCGAAAAATTAATTGGCCACCAGGCAGCACAGCAACATCAACAGCAGCCGCAGCAACAGCAACAACAACCACAACAGCAGCAGCAGCAACAACCACAACAACAACAACAAACATTGGCACAAGTGCCGCCACAGCACTGCAATCCGGCAACGGTGGCATCGGTACATCATACGCAACAACAACAACTTCAACAGCCGCAATTACAACAACAACGACCAACGCCGCCACCTGCGCAACAGCAACATCATCGTCGAACACCCAACACCCCGGATGGCACGGTTAACAGTGGGCCCGCTGTACTCGGCGTGGGTGGTGGTAATGCGAATGTATCGGGCAATAATCTTATGTCACGGCTAAATAATTTCGGTCCTCCCGCGGCTGGAGGTGTCGCCAATATAACTGGTGCGTCAGAATTCCACTTCGACCCTAATCATGGTGCGTCTGCAGGGCAAAGCAATGCCAGCGCTTATCAACAACATCAGTTAATAAATCAATACCAACAGCAGCACCATCAGCAACAACAAGCTGCATCGCCAGCGGCCGTGGTACAACAGCAGCAACATCTGCGCAGCCATACACCGCAAAGTCCGCATCAACCACATCCTCAACAACCACAACAACAAACGCAACATTTTACTTCGCCGCATCATATGTCTGCGACACAACAACAATTGCATCATCATCAGCAAATGTTGCATCATCACCAACAAATGCAGCAGCAGCACCAACAGCAACAGCAACAACAACAACAGCAACAGCATCGTCACAATCAACAACGTTCACCGTTGCATCATGCTACACCCGCTCAACAGTTGCAGCAGCAACATCATCAGCCTTCACACTCGCCTCAACGGGGACGTTTGCAGTCGCCACAGCCGCAGCAATCGCCGCTACAGCATCAACAACAGCAGCAACAACAGCAACAACAGCAGCAGCAGTTGCAACAACAACAACAGTATGCGCTGCAGCAACAAACAAATGAACCACCTTGGGCTAATATTGGATTTGGTGCCAATGCATTAAGTGGTGTTAGTGCTCAACAACCTCAACCGCAGCAACAGCAACAACCGCCTCCTCAACAACCACAACAACAACAACAGGGTGTTGTTGCTGCCAGTGGCGAGCTAAAAGACAATCCCGCCAAATTTTATATTGTTGACACGCCCGATTTCCTTGGACTTCCCATGAATGTCGGTACCAATGGTGGTCCATCCGGCACAACAACTCCGAATTCGCTTACTCAACAACAACAGCACCAGCAGCAGCAACAACAACAACAACAGCAACAACCGTCGGCAGTTGGACCGAGTGGTAGTGTAAGTAGCAAGCAGCAAGAATCCACGATTGGAGGCGAACTTATGAGTTTTCAGGTATGTTTTGAAAATTACCGTTAGTTTAGGTTAAAATTTATAATAATCTAATTTCGCTTCTTCTACTGCAGAGTATGTGGCCATCCGCTGGATCAGCTGCCTCGCAAATGATGTTCAGTGGTGGAGCACAGCAGCAACAGCAACAACAACAGCAACAGGCACAACAACAAGCTCAAAGTAATGCGCAAAGCGGACAAGGTGGTGCCGTAAATGTTGGCGCGGCCGAGCCGCATAATTACAACAATATTGGCAGTATCCTAACGAATCTCATTGACACTGCTCCAACTTCAATGGAGTATAATTTTGACATAATGCAACCGGGTGGGGGACAAATGGGCGTTTCACAAACTCAAGCCCAGGCGCAGCAACAGCATCCACAAAATTCACTTACTGCTCACCAGCAGCAACAGCAGCAGCAGCAACAACAGCAACAACAATCGCAACCACAACATCCGCACTCGGCTCACCACCACCAGCCGCACGCACTACAGCAACAACAACACCATAACGCCGCAGCCGCAGCTCTCGGAAATTACGGTACAGCCGGATTAATGCGTCACACCAGCTTATATGGCTCACCGAGTGGAGCTTCGCTGTATGATACAAGCGCTGCGGCGGCTGCAGCCGCACACCACCACCATCATTTGCCTTCCCATCATCCCGGTTTAGGGGATTTAACGGAACAACAACAAAAGAACAGTTTTCAACCATATCATCCACATGCGGCATCACATGCGCTTGGTGGACATCATCCACTTGCGCCAACCGCACATCATCCACTCGCTCCACATTTATTGCCGCCACCACCGCATGCAAGTATCTATGATCGCAGCGTAGGCGGTGGTTATCCTACAATGCTAATGGGTGGTGGTGTTGCTGGCGGTGGCGATGAGCAGAAAACTGTGCTGCCGCCAATTAGTGATTACATGCATCATATACAACAACAACAACTGCAGTCACAACACCCGCAACAATCGGACCTAGTCTACTATCCAGTGAAAAATGATTGACACCTAAAATAGGGCGTAGCGTTGGGTGGTAGAGCAATGACAGGTGAACAACAGTGTTTTAGCGGCATAAGCACTTATGCTGCACCAAATCGGTTAATGGCAGAACAATTGAAAGGAAGCATGAATAACCACTCACAGCATCAACAACTGCAAACGTTTAGACATTATCACAATCATAAAGCCGGAGATGCACATGTGCATGCACAACTACCACTACATCACCATCTTCAAAACTATGCTTCGGCACATCATCAGTCACCACACGCTTGGTGGCATACAATGACAGCGCTTGGCGCCACTCCGCCCGCAATTACCTCACAAGCTGCAACAGCTACAGTTTCTGCGGGCGCTGTAGGAGGTGTATTGAGAGACGATGTTAGTGCAGCAACTGCTATATATGCATCAACCGCAACTAAGAGAGGCGAACATTTCTTGTAAGCATAAGTTAGGTTTATAAGCTACAACAAAAATAATATATATAAAACTATATAAAACAAAACCAAGTTTATATATGTATATACATATATATAATAAAATATTAAGTAGTTAGGATTACGCAGGCTGCGATTTGATGCGTCAAAATGTCAGCATATATATATTCTTATGTATAGACCTTAAAACGCTAAAGCAAACACTCCATTTAAAAACAACACGAGCTCGGAATATAATTTCTATCAAAAGCAAGTCTCTTTCGCTTTCAACATTTCACATTACTTCTTTGTAATAAAGTCATAAGTCGTACTTCCAACTACAATAACGTTCAGCTCAATACATATGAGTACAAAATGAATTTATGTTTGTTATAATTAAATTTAAAAGTTTCTGAAAAAAATCTTTCAACGTTGTGGAACGTAAGCGCCGTTCTAAAACTAAGTTAAAAATTTCCGAAAAAAATTGCATGCTTAGAAGTGTTGTGCCGTTCTTACAGCACGTAGGAGTGCGTATAAAAGGTTAAATTATAGTGTATGCTTACTTATGTAAACATATATATTTCAAAAGTAAAGCTTAAAATATTACATATTACCACAATATCACAAATTATAGTTTCTACAAATGTGTATATACTTTTAAATACAATTAGAATTAAAATATTTTATACATATGATAGTACATACATATGTATATAAACATGCTCACAGCTACAATATAGAAGAAATATCTTATATATATATGTCTTTGAACCGATCGGCTACACAACAGGCCATGCGTATAGACGATATATGCGCTAATTGTTGACACTAATATGTATATACATCTATACATACAAAGTTAGGAGCAAAATAACAACAACAATAGTGGTATATATAAATATATATACGCTTAGTATTTAAGTGGAATTATTTGACTACACGCACATAAGAGACAGTTAAATATCTTTTACATACGTATATATTTACATTTATAGTTATATTGTATATGTACATATAATTTTACTCATATACATATAATACAATATATTAATATATATAATTGGTTTATATTATTGATTGTACATACAAAATTTACATATATACTATATGCAAACTCATAGAGCTACGAAAGAGGTCTACATTCACACACACATATTACACATTATTAATTAATTTATCTGGTAGATCAATATCTCGAACAAAATTTATCCAGCACATTATTATTTTTATTTTCAAGTATTCTTTATTTGTGTAAATCTCGCATTAATTTGCGCTGGCTCAACCGATATCTGCAATTTCTATTTTGTATGCGTTAAAGTATACAATTCCTTATATACCATCTATATACAGCTGTCCTTGCTATTTATTATCCATTTGTCTTTAAGCCCCTATTTTAGTTGAATTTAAATTTTTACTCTCGATAACCCGATTTTTATTATACAAAAATTGTATATATTTTTTTAAATGATATATATAAAGGGATTTTCAATATGAACACGTGGGCACGTGTATATTGGTTGACAAGTTTGGAAACAACATTTCCCATTTTAAGGGAACTCAGCCAAAAAAAAATTTGCCTTAGAATAATATAATATATTATATTGTTTATATTGGATTTTCTTTTATAAAAATAAATTCATACATAACAAAGTTACCATATATCTCCATTTATAAATGAGCTCATGTCAAATTAATAAAGTAAACTTGAAAATAAGAGAGTTTTAGAACTGCACGATTGAATTTTTGGGTTGTTTTTTAACAAGTTAAAAATTCACAAGCTTTTTGTAAACTACAACACACAGTTTTTGAAATCTAAATATAAATAGCCGAACCACCTCTTTATTATTATATTATTCCCAGCCACACTCTTTTTAATAAAAATCTTCTAATAAGACACCATCGATTACTTATATTTTTAGATGTTTTATTAATCTGGAAAAAAATTGTGTTAAAATAAGCCATTTCATCATTCAATCGTCCAGCACTAAAACCTTTTTATACACAAAAAATATGGTTTTAAAAATCCATATCAAAACATATAAAATATCAAAGAATTATTCGTCTTGCTTAGGTATTTTTTAAAACATGCAATAAAAAACCTCAAGACTCATTATTTTTCTAAAACATTCATAACTACTTTTATCTCATTTCCTTTTCATTCGTTAGTAGTAATTCGGTACTGAATTTTCGTCGAGAAAAATGATAAAATTGTATAATTTTTAAATAAAACTGAATATTATACAAAAAAAATAATTGTATAGTTAAATATTAATTGTGCTAAACTCTACACTCGAATGCATATTTGGAGCGAATTTCAGTATCCAATTGTTAATTAACAAATTATTTATTTATTCCCGCCCCATATATTGTTTAATCTATAAAAAATCTCAAAACGTATACATATCCAAACTTACTAATACAAAATTATCCATTTCATTCCTTACAAAAGCAAAAAAGTAAAAAAAAAATTATGTAATATGTATGTACATATTTTCAAAGGTACGAGTGCCTAATTTTATTGGCACACACCATTTTCTTCTTGTTTAATTATGTATCTTGCTCTTGATTAAACAATTTATTATATGTATTATGTATATACGTATGCATATATATGTATATATGTAAGCGCTGTTAACATTTCTTAAAGAAACGACGGCAATACGATTTTCGTAGCAAAGAAACTAGTAATCTCCATTTTCCTATTTACCTACTATTCGTACTCTGTTTACAACATTATTAGCCCGTTAGTCTAGCCTGTACGTAGTTTAAGCTAACCCCAAACGAATTAAAAACAAAAAAAACAAATCCATAAGAATCTAATACAATTTAACGCACTTAGTTATAGCGATCTACTCTCATAGTTTTTTGTTTTATACTTGTCTCAGCACTCTCCCGTCAGCCGCTCACCTCTCAATCTTCTGCTGCTATCTTTGTGTGTACTCGTTTGCATATGAATTTAAAGTTATTTGAAAAAGAATATACATTACGCTCGAAACAAATAATTATTGTTCTTGTTAATATATAAAAAATTTAAAATAGACAACCACATAAATTATGTATACATACTTATTATTATTAAAAAATTGTTTTTTTTTTTTTAATTATTAATTTTTCTTGTAACTTATAAGCAATTTTATATACATACTACATAAAGAACAAACACAAAAGAGATGTATTTTATTGAGATATCAATAAAATTTAACACAACACACATATATTTAAAGTACGTACGTAAATAGTAAAGCAAAAATAGTTTTATGATGAAAAGAAAAGAAAAGAAAAAATTATGAAGAAAATACAAAAAATAATATTTTAAAAAAAATTGTAGTACTTTTAAGAAACAACAACACAAACCTACAAATTAATAAATACAAATTAAGTAAAAATGGTAAAAATAACATCGTTAAAAATGGTAAAAAATGGTTGAAAAGTAATAAGACGATTGAAGATTTGTATTGCATTACAAACAGCATATTTGTATATTTAATAAAAATGATAGTGAAATAAATGCGAACTTCGTTTTAAATGATTTTATTGTTATATTCTTTTATATGTAAATGATTAATCAATTTAAGCATGAACAGTATGCACCAAAATAATATTTGTACAAGTATATCCTATACAGCGTGGGCTATGTCCGTCTGTTTATACGCAAACTCAGTTTTTGAGATATCGGAACAAGTTCTTTTCTCCTCAAGAAGCTGTTCATTTGTCGGAATTGTCGATATCGGACCACTATATCATATGGTTGCCATTGAAACTGAACGATCAAAATCAAGTTCTTGTATGGAAAACTTTTTTATTTGACAAGATATTATCACGAAAATTAGCATGGATAATTACCCAGGACAATGGAAGAAACTCTAAACAAACTTTTCCGATCGGACTACTATAGCTTAAAGCTGACATACACACTGACCGATCAAAATCAAGGTAAAGATCTTTCTTGATTACCCTTTATACGATAAGAAATGGACCTGTGAAGAGTATTATAGCTTCGTTGCAGCCAAGTTAACTTTTTTCTTATTTTAATATTATTTATACATTGAAATTTTTGAATTTTGTCATACATAAACCCTGCAACTGACATTTATGTACATCTATATTGTTTGTTTAAACATTTCATATAGTAAATCAATCAAAACACCGAAAAAAAGATTGAGACAAAATTATTTTGTAAAAAAAAAACATTTTGGATTATCAAAGAAATTTATAATACAAATTTTAGTTTATATAGAAATAATCCGCGATGAGTGAAGATGTGCCAGACACTGAAATAATACAGGCAGCAAACGTTGGGCCTAAACAACCTACAACAGTAATTGATCCGCAACAAATTCAAGAGCTCAAAGATATAGCGAATCGTTTGCGTTTACATGCAATTAGGTCTACACAAGCATCCAAATCAGGGTATATGCATAGAAAAACTATCGAATATAATAAAATGAAAATTGTTTATTATTAACCTTTACACAGCCATCCCACATCCTGCTCATCAATTGCCGATATACTTGCCGTATTGTTTTTTAATGTAATGCGTTTAGACATTAAAGAACCACGCAATCCGGCTAGTGATCGACTGGTGCTATCGAAAGGGCATGCTGCACCCATACTCTATGCAGCATGGGCGGAAGCTGGACTATTTCCTACCGATGAACTTCTAAATTTACGTAAAATTGATTCGGATCTTGAAGGGCATCCCACACCTCGTTTAAATTTTATTGATGTTGGCACCGGTTCTTTGGGTCAAGGTGTAGCAGTAGCGTCTGGTATGGCATATATTGGAAAGAATATTGATAAAAGCGATTATAGGTATAATATGTGTATCTAATAACTGTTGGATTTCAATTATGGGTCAATACTTTGAATTAGGACCTACTGTATCGTTGGTGATGGTGAATCGGCAGAGGGTTCAATATGGGAATCTTTAAATTTTGCCAGTTTTTACAATTTAGATAATCTTTGTGTAATATTTGACGTGAATCGCTTGGGACAATCTGATCCGACACAGCTGCAGCATAATATGGATGTGTATGAAAAACGTTTGGATGCATTCGGTTTCAATGCAATTGTTGTGGATGGTCACAATATTGAAGAACTGATGAATGCCTTTGACAAGGCAGCCAGTACGAAGGGCAAACCGACGGCCGTCATTGCGAAAACATTTAAAGGTAAAGGATTTCCCGGAATTGAGAATGAAGAAAATTGGCATGGTAAACCTTTAGGTGATAAGGCATGCGAAGTTATAAGAAGATTAGAATATGCGATTGTTAATCGCTCACCATGCCCAGTGGCGTTAACACCAAAATCGAATGATGGAATGACTGTGCCTGAGGTCAATATAGATAACGTTAAACTATCCACCCCACCATCATACAAATTGGGGGAACAGGTGGCAACACGTGTCGCTTATGGCAAAGCGCTGGCCAAAATGGCGGAAGGATGTGATCGTGTTATAGCTCTTGATGGCGATACAAAGAACTCCACCTATTCTGAGAAACTGAAGCAACAATTTCCTGAACGTTTCATCGAATGTTACATTGCCGAGCAAAATTTGGTTGGAGTAGCCATTGGTGCCATGTGCCGTAATCGCACAATCGCTTTTGCCTCGACCTTTGCCGCTTTCCTAACACGTGCTTTCGATCAAGTTCGCATGGGTGCTATCTCTCAGACTAACGCCAATTTTTGTGGTTCACATTGTGGCATAAGTATCGGTGAGGATGGTCCCTCACAAATGGCTCTTGAGGATATTGCCATGTTTCGCGCAATACCAGGCAGCACCGTCTTCTATCCATCGGATGCAGTTAGCTGTGAACGCGCCGTGGAATTGGCAGCAAATACGTCAGGTATATGCTTCATACGCACCTCTAGACCGAGTACAGCCGTTATTTACAAAAACGAGGAGGTATTCCAAGTGGGCATTGGTAAAGTGATAAAACAATCGCGCAAGGATAAAGTGCTTTTGGTAGGCGCGGGTATAACGTTATATGAATGCCTGTCGGCTGCCGCAGATCTGGAGAAAATTGGCATAAAAGTCCGTGTTGTTGATCCTTTCACTATAAAACCGTTGGATGCCGGACTGATAATGGCAAACGCCCGTGCATGTGGTGGACGCATCATTGTCGTTGAGGATCATTACCAAGAAGGCGGTTTAGGGGAAGCTGTACTAAGTGCGCTGGCTATGGAACGCAATGTGGAGGTGAAACATTTACATGTACCACATGTACCACGGTCTGGACCGCCAACTGTGCTAATAGATAAATTTGGCATATCAGCACGTCATATTATAGAGGCTGTGTCCAATTATATGGAATGCAGGTGTACATCCAATCTCGAGGATTAGAAAAAAAAATTTAAAAAAGTTCGATTACCGATATTTTGTTTAGGTAATATGGTATATAGGTCGAAAAATTTCCAAAATGTAATTTGATTGAAAGAATGTATATATCTAAGTTTTCAGCTTTGAATTTATAGAATACACAAATATAAATTTATAATTTAAAGCATTAAAGAAAAAAGTTCACAATTTTAATATTGGCAACACCTTGTGTTTAAATAAATTAAATTGAAACAAGAAAAACCGTTAACTTCGGTTGTTGAAGCTTCAAATCGGCTGTACCAAAGCTACCCTCAACAATTACAAAAGATTCCAAACAAGGATTGATATTGATCGGTCAGTTTGTACGACAGCTACATATATGCAACAGTGGTCCAATCTGAACAATTTCATTGTACATTGTACCGTTGCCTTGGACAATAATCCATGCCAAATTTTGTGAAGATATATTGTCAAATAAGTTTTCCATACAATGACTGGATTTTGATGGATTCGTTTGTGTGGAATGGGAGCAAAATGCTATAGTGATGGCTATCTCAAAAACTAAGCGACTAGTTTGCACATATACTGACAGACGGATATATATATTTTAAGAAGTATTCCTTCTGACTGTTATAAAGTTCATGACAAACGTTTTATCAGAGAACGTAAATGAAGGAAAGTTATATTTTTCGATGTTCCCTCATCTGGAATTACAAATTAGTACTCAAAAAGATTTCATTTAACATTTGCTCCTTTTCTATTCATTTACGTTCTCTGGTATTATACCTGTTCCGCGCATAATTAACGGAATTCTTAGTAAAATTAATCGATATTGCTTATCGATAACAAACTACTCCAATTAGAAGCAGTTGACAAGTAGCAGTTGTCACTATTCGGCAATTTGTTGACGCGTCAAAAACGTTCGTACGCGTTGGACGAATGACATTTTGTACTTAACCAATAAGAAAGAAGCGAAGTTATTATTCAGCCAATTTTTAGTCGAAAGTGTTTTAATTAAAAAAGTTTAGATATACGGAACATAATTAATAGAACAATGGCGGTAAGTCCCGGATTACTTACAATGAACCAATATTATATATTAATACATAATATTCGAAACCAAATTCTCTTCATTTAGCCACAACAAAAGGGTAAACAAGGTACAAAAGGAGCAAAGCAGATTGTGGAGGAAAATAAGGCCACACTGAAGTTCTACAGGAACATGGCCCTTGGTAGTACCGCGGCCATAATATTGTTAAACTTGGTATTTTTTGGACTCAGCAAAGTAACAGTGGTATGTATGTACTTATATTACATGTTTCATTAATTAACTTTTTCTCAATTATATTCTGTCGAAGATTATGGGCATCATAGCCGTACTAATTTTAGCCGGTTCCGTTCAATTCATGGTTTTTATGTCAAGACCAAAATACTCTGAAAATGGTAGCATTCTTGATTCCGGAAATGACTTGAATATGGAAGGCGGTATAGCTGAGTAAGTGTGTTTCAAATAAATTGGTTATACTTGTGATCTAATGTCATACATTGATTATTCGCAGAAATGTAAAAGATTTAATAATATTAACATCTGGAACCATAATTTTGTCCTTATTATCGAATTACTTTTGGTACCTGTTACTTTTGGCGCCATTGCGGGCCATTTGGATGTTGTGGGGCAGTGTTATACAGCCCTGGTTATCGCAGCGTAATGCCGCAGACCAAGAACCCGAATTAGATGAGAAAAAACAACGTAAACTTGAACGTAAAATGCGTCGCATGAGATGAAGATACCAAAGTCGACTAAAATGGACCTCTATTTACACATTGCCCATAGCGGCTCTCAGAGTCAATAATGTAACGTATTGTAACAAAAACGGTTGTGCCTAAGTTAGCCGTTTTTACGATGGTAAAGTTCAGTTACCAATTTACATTAAGTATTTTGTTTTGTTTTCTGGAATTGGTAATTTAATTTGCATATGGAGTTCACATAGTTGTGTTTTGTATTTTTGGCGTTACCAATTGAAGGGTTTCTCGTTACTTTACGATTGTAAGTATTTATAAGAGATATACATCTACATTTTGTATACAATTAAGAAATAATAAAGAAACACAAAAATGTGACAAAATATAAAACTAATTGGTGTTTATACATATATTTCGCAAATAACTAGTAGAAACAAACACGTTATAAGTATTTATTTATATTTAGTCGCACTGTATTAAATACCTGCGAAAACAATGTAAAAATATAGTTTTTGCTGCTGTGTCGACAGTGCTTGATCGGGTCAACTATAATTACGTGTATATTGGTTACTTACTTCTATATTTTACCATAAAACAAACAAAGAGGATAGCCGGTTGTTCTAAATGCGATTTATACACTTATTTACTTAACTTAACGCCCAAATCTCAATATTTATTTCAACATGAATCTTTAAATATTGTATTCCATAATTCAGAATTACAATCATTTTTTATTTAAAAAACCACGTGCTTAAATTCTGTGCAAAGGAACCAGTATTTTTTGTGTACACCCGCGACCGTTGCTGCAATACCACACCCAAATTATTATTCGTTGTTCTTTTAGCCAATTAATTGACCTTTGTATTGCATCTGTTGCCAATGTGGGTAAATTTAACCTCATATCATTTAATGAGAATACAAAAATACATAACTTTAACAAGTGCATGGTGCATTCAATACATACATACATTCAATAGTTCGTATAACATATGTATATGGTTCAATAAATACCACTTTGGATGTAGTAATTCAATAAACATATTTAATTCATTTACAATAAGTCATTTTCATTGCTTTTATTTAACCTAAACAAATTATTTATTATTTGTAAATAATGTTATTGTGGTTAACACAATTTTAATCTTTAGTTTATAAAATTATTGTACAATCTGAAATAATGTTACCAAAAGTTCCAAAACAAATTTACATTTCACACAACTATGGTGATATACCGCTAATTCTTCATATATATGAACCTAATTATAAGTATATTAATTATAAAAAAAGGGGTTAATAACCAGGTGTGGAAAGTATTTTTAATCAAGCCACAAATTAATGAAGAAAACGTAGAAAAAAATGCAATTGAAAGATGCTAAACCTAAAACAGTTTCAATATGGATTGTAAATTTTTGTTTGCCTTTACTAATCTTCATTAAATGTTAACAACTTTAAGTTAAACTTACTGGAGTGTGTATGTGTGTTTATAAATGAGTTTTTAATTGCAATGCATAATCCCACCACGCATGTGTTGATATAACTATATACATATTTTTAAGTATGTACATACACATGTACTAAATATGCTTTTATACATATTAAGGTACTTAAGCTTTCTATTAATGTGGGATAATAATAATTTAAATTCACAACTACAAAGCGATTACTTTTGAATATGTGTTATAGATCATTCAATTAAACCTCCAATCACTTAAGGAATTTAATTGAATTGCTCCGGCATAACGTAAGAGATATCATCCCAAGGATGACGATATAGACCCTGCTTCAGACGCTTCTGGTCCATGTAATGACCAATGAAGCCTATACTGCGACCGAGCACGAATAGGGAATTAATTGCACCGATGTTGATATATTCCTGCGCTTCCTCACTGCAAACAGAGAAGAAGATTATTAATTTCAATATGTAAATAATAATTATATAAAATTTAATTGTTCGTAAAAGTGTAAATGATTTTTGACGTTCTACGATTCTACGGATACCGTTATAATTAGTTAAAAATATTAGCTAATATGGCTTGCATTTTGGCATTTTGCTAACTTATTGCTCAACTTACCTCGTAAAAGAGCCACAATTACGCAACATGTCCACAAAACTGGTGGCAATAACACCATCCACATTCAAGATCAAGTTTGGCTTCTTGTTTGTGGTAATTTTCTCAACTTCCAACGCATATCGCAGTAGCGGTGCTGATGGGAAATTCTCCAAAACAAATTCTTTTATGATTTTAACACGCACATCGGGATTGTTTATGGATTTGACACGATGACCAATACCCAGAATGAGTTTGCCATCTTTACGCATTTGATTGACAAAGTCCATGGGGTGTAAATTCGAGTCATAGGCCTCAGAAAATTGTCGTGCAGAGCCATCAAGTGCACCACCGAAACGATCACCCTACAAATACAGAAACAAACAGTTAGAATTTAATATATTTAGGTAGCTCCTTGTGATAGGTGTGAACTCACAATTGTCAACAAGCCACTGACTACGGATGATACCAAGTCTTTGCCGGCACGCGCACAAACAATCGTGTTGTGCGCACCCGAAACAGCGGGTCCATGATCAGCAGTCACCATTAGGCACATTTCGAAGAATTTGCATACGTATGGTGGTAGACAACGTTGGAACCATAATAGCGATACAACACCGCCGATACCCACGTCCTTGTTGAGCACTTCACTAATGGGCATGCCAGCGTATAGCAATTCTTGGCCACGTTCATCGCAGATGGATGTCATAAAGGAGGCAGGCTTACGAATTAATCCCAATTCACGTGCCCACGAGTAATCCATTGGCACTGTTGGTGGTGGTACTTCCTCTTTAGGCACGATACGTCCCGATTTCACCAATTCGGCGTATACCTGCTGAATCAGATCACCCAACGAGTCGAAAGAGTCGGGCACATAGGCACCAGCCTCACGCAATGTCTTGTTCTTGGCGGATGCTGTCTCACGATCTGAGTTGGCACATGAACCTGCATGGCCAAATTGTACCTCAGAAGTGAACATACTAGCGCAAGTGCCTATACACCATGCAACCAAAGGTTTGTTTATGCGTCCGTCCTTGAGCGCAGCGCACACCTCATACTCTTCGGTGCCGCCCACCTCACCCAATAATACGATCAGCTTAGCTTCTGGATCAGCCTGATAGCGTAAGATGTGATCCATAAATGTGGAGCCTGGGTAGCGATCGCCACCAATTGCAATGCCTTCGAGCACACCATCGGTGGCTTTCGAAACAATATTGTTCAATTCGTTTGACATACCGCCGGAACGAGACACATATGCCACACTGCCGGGACGATAGAGTTTCGAGTGCAAAATGTTGTCCAACATGCCACCGGTGTTGCCGATTTTGAAACAACCAGGTTTAACACCACCTACAGTGGCGGGCCCAATAATGGAAACGCCTTTCTTGTCGGCAGCCACAATTAATTTACGCGTCATATTTTCCGGTATACCCTCAGCAATGATGGCTACGGTACGTATCTGTGGGAATTCCAATACCTCCAATGTGGAGTCATAAGCCGAACGCAATGAAGCGAAATTCACCATTACATCAACATCTTTGTGATTCTTAACAGCATCGGACATTTTCTTATAAACTGGAATAAGTATCTCTTTATGGCCCCAATAGTACTTTTGCTTATGATCACCTGTGAAAGGATATACCATAGCAACAACGGACGGTTCATCACGTCTAGACATGTACGTAAAAGGAAAGCAGTGTTAACATTTAATTAGTTGTACTTTACTTTACGTTTACTCACCTGCAAATGAAATCGAAATCGAGCATTGATTGTACAGCGCGTTGCTGCATGCCCCAGACAATGGCTTTCGTTTTGTCGCTGAAAAATCTGCGCGTATGCGCATTTATGGCATTGCTTGGCACAGAATCATTTGCGAAAGAGTCATCTGCCGAAATAGGTGGTAGTTTAATCGATTGTGGTGATGAACCTATACCTTAAATGTGTTCCCAAATGATTTTCGATTTTGGTTTTGATTTCGATAACAACGAATGTATTTTATTGCAGTTGATTTCAAGCAGGATATAGACCGTATCAGGACGTTTTTTGGATTTTTTTTTTTTAGATATGAACGTGAGACGAACGGGATAGATGCACAAGAACAGGCAAACATACACGAGCACAAACACATAGAATTGGATACGTTACATAATACCATTAAACGGTTATGTCATTTACGTTTACGTTCCCAGCCACGTTTATATGAATTTCGTGACATTTTATATAGAGAAACAACAACAATAGATATAACCGTATGTTGTTTAATTGTTGACGTCAATATAATGTTTAAAATACGTAACATTTATTTTTTACCCAAATAATATATAATGATTTTCAATCAAGGTATATTTTGTGGCAGTAATGGTGGTGGTGGTGGATTCGGAAATTGTGGTGGTGGTGATGTTGAGCAGGATAACCAATTACATACAAACATGAGGACGGACGTTGAGGATACATACAAAAATATAGAAAATATATTTAAGAATACGTTATTAGTTGGTAGGTTTACTTCATACAGTTAGATAAAAGAAAAATTTTATGTGGTTTAAACAGATTTTTTAATAAAAAAAAAAAAGAATGTGTTGAAGCAAAATTAAAAAAAAATTTTATGATTAAAACAAATTGTTAAAAAAAAATTATAGAGAAACAAAAATAATTTTTTTAAACAAAAAAATAACAATTTAGTTGAAATAAAACTGAAAGGAAAATTTGTTGAATCATAATTAAAAAAAAATTATAATTTATTTTGTTGACAAAAAATTAAAAAAAGATATTTTGTACTGACCAATTAATATTTTAAATAAAACAAAATAATAATAAATATTATTCAACTTTAGTCCGCTTAACGGTGAATAACATAAAAATTAAATTCTCATTGCTAGAAATCCATTTGAATGAAAAATGACATGATCGGTGTTTTAAATGCAACAAAACAATTAACTGATATAATTTAAATGATCAGAAAAATATGTTCGTGCCAAAAGAAGATTTTCATGAAACCAAGTCAACAGAAAAAGTTCAATATGTTATGTTGAACCATGCGAAATCCTTCAAGCGCGCTTACTCACTTTCAAATAATAAATGCATTTACTATTTATGTGATAAACAAAAAAAATTAAATGGTTTCAATATGAGTAGAAAGCATTTAATTTTTTGTGTTTGTATGCCATAGTACGCATTTTGAAAGATTTTTGTTCAATGAAAACGATTAAAAACGCAAATTTCAACTTACCGCCATTATTGCTCACTGCACTCTCTGACGCCTTCAACTCGGATTGTGCTTGCTGACCGCCGGGTAGTAGAAAATTGGCCGTGGAGAATTCCGCTGTGGCTGTTTGTGGAATGGGTC